AGCTGACTGTGGTTTGTAAATTCTAAGTAATTGGGGATCGGTCCCAGGGATTGGTCCTCTTTCACATCATGTAGGTTACAGTTTGCTGCGTCACTGTTGCCTTTTGGAGCTGAATTCTTCACAGCTGGCAGCAGGGATTTTTAGTAGGAGAATTCCTATCCAAAAGCTCTTCCCTTAAGTTCATCCCTGATCCACTGTTCAAGCAGATGTTGTTTGGTCCAACTTTGAGCAATGTAACAGGTTTGGTGCTTGTTGACGCTGGGTGCCTGAGTCTAGTGGGTTCTGAGGCTCATACTAGGAAGGGTGAAGTAGTGTTAACTGCACTCATTTGGAGTACTGAGTCGGAGGTAACTCAAGTTGCAGTGTAGAGCTGTCTGAAAACAAAGTAGGTCTCTTTATAAGGAAATAGACACTCCAGTGGGTCCTGTCCAGAATGATTTCTATCAGCTTTGCAGTTGAATGGGAATATCTGCAAGCTCTTGATAGAAGCAGAAATGTGAGGCTTTGTTGCAGTTTTAACAGAATTGCATGGTCCCAGCTATAGGCATTGGTTCTGATAGATTATCAAGTGCTGCAGCATAGCCCAGTGCCAACAGTGTAGTGTTCATCCTTGGCAAACTGCTGTGGGTCTTTGCAGATGGATGTAGATTAATGTCTAAAAACAGGCCTCTCGATTTATTAAAGGTTTAACACAAAAGAATGCTTGAGCAGTATTGCTCCCTCAAAACATATGTGGTGGTACACTATGCTGTTGGTCAATGCTTATTCTTCTCAATCTGTTTGGGTTGTGGGTAGGAAGAAATGCTCCAGAGCTGTTTGTAGACATAGGGCTACAAAGCACACTTCCTAAAACTTGACAATGTACAAGTAGCTTGATATACAATTAATGAACTGTGGCTGACTTTGAAAAGACTGGACAATCTAAATTAGTCGTGGTAGAATAGCTGGGGCAAAGAACAGGGGAGATTATTGCTTCTCACCTTGAGTATTGGCACCTGGACTGCTTTTTTCCAGACCTTTGCTAAACTTCTGGAGGAAACTGCTATGGCAGTTCATCTTGTGTGGGCTTGGGCCCTGAATCATTGTAAACAGCAGCTTGCTTAAATGGATTATCTCTATGTGAACAGCACTGGTGCTTCATTTGCATTGGCTGCTTTTTATTTCTCAGTTGGAGTATAGAGCATGGGCTTAATGCTGTAAAACCGTGGTGGCCTGAGACTTTCCTATTTGAATAGAGTGTCTACCTGACTTGGTATTTGACCAGGGTACTTGAGTATCTCACAGATTAATGAAATTTGATGCTGTCATCCCCATGAGGCAGGGAAGTAAAGCTCTGTTAACTTTACAAATGGGGAAACTGAGGCAGTGAAATAACATAGGTGAGTCTAATAGCTGGGAAACAAAGCTAGCTCTCCCGAGTCAACTGTCTTAACCTACATGGCACAATCCTATTGTGGGTGTCGCACACACAAGTGGGTGTTGTATTGTACTTCCTGGCTTGAGGGATGTATAATTAACAGATGGTATGAGTTAGCCTTGCTGATGCCAGTTACATCTGTGTGCTTTGTAGACTCTTAACACAGTGATGGAGACATCACTACATCATTTATAACCTGACAACTTGGTCTTGCCTATGCTAGTGTACACCTTCCCTTCAGCTAGGGTGGCTTTTCTCCACTGGTTTAACCATAAAACCTACTCTTTCCTAGGGCCCATCGTTATCAGGACAGCCTGGGGCTGGCCAAGGGAAGAAGATAGGTCATCGTGGAGTCGATGCTTCTGGCGAAACCACCTACAAAAAGGTTCAGTTTCTTGACTTTCAGAAAGTAGCATCTACAGAAAAGCAATGTGTTGGGAGTAGTGGTGGGAGCCAGGGGCCTAAGAATAGCTTGTACAAACTATAAGACATGGAGATTTCGGGTCTGCTCTTGGCAAAGTAGAGAGATGAGATTTTGCTCCCAGTGGGTTATATTGTCCTTGTAGCTTATGTGCATTGTACAGTCGTCATGCTGTGCGGAAGACTGAGGCAGTCTGTGTAGAAGCCTGTTAAATCTGTTTAGCAGTACCAGAGGCATAGGCATAATTATGAAATTGGACGGTTACTTATCTAGAAGTCCTGTTGCTATAACCTACAGTAAAATGTGCACTGACTGCTCCTTTCTTTCTTCCAGACTACTTCATCCACTCTGAAAGGGGCCATCCAGCTAGGGATTGGATACACAGTGGGGAACCTGAGCTCCAAGCCTGAAAGAGATGTCCTGATGCAAGATTTTTATGTGGTGGAGAGTATTTTCTTCCCCAGGTAAGGCATGCAGGAGAGAAACAGAATTCAGGGATTAGTTATTCCCTTCTTTATGCTGTTCTAAAGGAAAATGGACACTTTGAGTATTGAAAATATGCTACTATTTCTTACCAACACATTACTGGAAAGTAGTAAACCAGCAATGCTGTGGTTAGGAGATGGGACATACTGGACTTACTAGCTGTGAAGATTTTTATCAGCTTTGTTTTCCTTGCTATCAGATAATATGTAATTTGTCCTTAGACAGAACACATTTGACACTGAAAGAGATTCATTCCTGGTACACTTCCTGGTCATATTCCCTCAACATCTTCAGCTGTTGCATGATTGGACCTGTGACTAGGGAGAGCTTGCAGCCCCCAACCCCGCTCTTAGAGCTCTGTAGCCATTCATGACCCAACTGGGGTTGCTCCAAGCTGTGTCATTCATGCCCACATGGATACAGAGCATAGGGTAGTGGTTGGAGGG